ACTCTCTTCGAGATCTTCGAGGAACACGAAAACCCCAAAGCAGTTCCCGATCCTGTAAGTGTCGCCGACATCTTCGGTCGCTCCCTGAAACTCGCTGTCTCTAGCGGTCGGAATTGGTGGTGGTATTCGGAATTGTTAGAGAAGAAGAAGAGTCAACAAGATAAGGTTATGGCGAGCCGCCGGGTTTATATATGTCAAAACCGGGTGGATCCGACCCGAATACCCAACTCAGTCTAATCGTCTAAAACATTTTTTATTTTATTTTTTTTTCGACAACTAAATGGGAAAATAAATATAAATTTATGTTATGTTATTGGATTTTAAAAATTGGGTGAAAGTATTTGCTATTTAATTTATAATTTTGGGATGTAAGTTAAAAAATTGGGTGTTTTTTCACACTAGAGAATTTGTGTGAAATGGTAATTGGTTAGAGAATTTTTGATAAACCTTTGTTGTTTTAGATTGGTTCATGTGAAGAATTTTACAATTGAAACTATTGATTCACCTAGGACACAACGAATATATGCGTACAGCTAATAAGTATACATCAAACTAAATCTATGTTCCTAACAATCAAATCCCAATTTCTTGTGGATTAAAGTGAGTTTGATAATACCCTTTATAGTTATAGATTATTTTAAAATGCAAAAATGAAAATCATGTAAGAACATAACACACACGAGATCTCTATAATAGACCTCACAWTTAAGGAGGATTATTCGTCTTTAGTATATATTCATCCAAAATAAGACTAGTATACGACAAGTATGTAATGAACTATAAGATAAAAGATTTTCTTTTCTGAAAAAAAAGGATAAAAAGATTTTCAAAAGAAGAAAATGAAAGTTTTGAGCTCTTAACAAACACCAGTTTAGTAACACAATATAACTTTATTTATTCAACATGATACTTAACATCTTAGTAACATTTTGCTCCACCGACAAGCAAATATCATATACGATCACAAACACGTATAAACGATCATCATTATTCTTTTTCTTAAAATCATAATTAATTCAAAGACATACATAAAACATTAAATAATTAATTATTTATATATCCATAAGCCCTTCGAACACCTTCATAGCCGAACCAGGAAGACCAAGCAACACATTGATACTCTTGGTGTCACTACCACATGGCAAGAACAGAATCACTTCCTTCTCGGGTAAACCGACCGGTCCAGACACAACCGGTTCACCCCAACCGAAATCCTTAGTATGAAATGACAGTTTTGCCCACGACGTGATCAGAAGCGTCGCCGTTAGACTCGGCCTAGCTCGAGTCACCTCAAAGTAATCAATCGCAGATCTCATGAAACCGTCGTTAACCATTTCAACGGCTCTTTTGACCAAACCAACCGAATGAGAAAGAGGGTTTAAAGTCACTTCACCTGCCGTTGTAACGGAGTAAGTAAACACAATCCCGTTTCCTGAATATCCTTTAGGAAGTTCAGGAACGAATCTTGACCGTCCATCTGCAGCAAAGAGGAGTTTTATCCGTTGATCTGGTTTAAGCCCTAAGGCTTGACAACGAGCTCTCCATAGGAATCCGGTTAGGGTTTGGAAAGTCGTGGATCTTGTCTCTGCCATGATCTTGAGCTTCTCGAGTTTTTCGGGTCCGAAAAGGAAAGATTTGTAGACGAGTTTCTCATCGGAGTAGAGTTTTCCGGTGCCGGAGATGTCGTCTATTTCCTCGAACTCGTTGTGTGGGTAATCGATCTTTGGTGGGGTTCGTGGTCGGAGAAGGGTGTGGTCCAAGAAAGGTGGGAGTGAGAGAGGGAGGCCACGAGCCGTCTCGGCCCATGAGTTGAGGAACTCCATGGCTGCGATACCATCGAACATGTTGTGGTTCATGCCTAGGCCTAACACGAATCCTCCACATTTAAAATTTGTCACCTAATACACCAAAAACAAAAAGTTGTATAGAAGCATACTTATACTAGATCATGTTCGTCAAATTAGTAGTATAATCGATGCGATCAACTGAATTGACACTCTTAACTTATAAATTATTAGAACCGAATATATAACACACATTTTTTTTATTTTAAAAGTAACCTTTTAATGGAAAAAAATAGTATATCCAAAATATTTACATGTAGAATTACTTATTGGCAAAAAAAAAAAATCTGATTTATAAATCTCGACGGTCGCAAGAATCCTCTAAAAACGTATTATTTTGGATATGTTCCAA